AGTCCTGTATAAGAACTGTGATATTTGTACTGAGTTTACTTGCTGTGTGGTGGGACAAGTTCACCACTACTTGTACTGTCCTATATAAGAACTGTGATGTGATGTTTATACTGAGTTTACTTACTATGTGACGGGAAAAGACCACTGTTACTTTTACAGTCCTATACCAGATCTGTAATACCATGTTCACCATCCTGTAAAATCTAAAAATCATTAGGAAGGATACAGCATTCACACAGCACCAGTTGCTATGATTTACTAGCCCTCTAGGTATCAGAAATGGAGCCGCATGATTCAAACGAAGACTGGTCAGTATCTCTGAGAAAATAAAAGCAAAATCAAGGGTTGAACTATAATTGTTAACAAAGCTAAATAAATAAACATTACTCAGATTTTCATATTTCAAAGTAGTACACACATTTTAGACAATAGGATAGTTTTTCTTTTTTTACCATTAAGATAAATTTTGCTTTTATAACCACAACTAACTGGCACTAATACAAAGTTTCCCACCTCATTTACATAAAGATTTCTGCTCACTTCACCTACAGTTCTACAAACAAGGTTGTTCTACCATGCTTTAGGTACTGAAGAACCTATGAAAGTCTATTTTAAAAGTGCATAATATAATATCAATTATAATTCAAATGTTTTTCTTCACAAGAGTCTTAATCCAACTTGAAAAATTAAAATTTGTTAGATCTAACAAAAAAAATTTCTCAGTGTCTAGATCAACCCTCTTCTCTCTAGAGTTAATATTTCTTGTACCTCCATAAACATTTCACATTGAAATTTAGTGCCTTGCACATATTGTTTGTTAGTGCAAGACTAAGAGAAAATAAAGCTGATTTTTTGCCGCGACATAGCGGCTCATAGAATGGCTCTGAATTCTTTAAGTACAAACTGTTAGCTCATACTCCATCATCTCTTGACTGATTTAAAATCTAATTACAGTTTTGGACTCAGGAGGTCAAACCCTTTCATTTGATGTATTTGATCACACCCAAGGTCTCAGATTAATTTATTCTAATTCTGCCTAAAAGAATTTCAATTTGAGGGTAGGCTGGTAGAGATCCTGATGAGTAATAAAATCGAATCAGGTATATGTGCGCCCCACACTTGGTATTGGTAGTGCACAAAAATATAGCTAATAAAAAGGAAAAAATATCTCGTAGATTAAATTACTCTAATCCTGCCTAAAAGAATTTCAAGTGTTGCAGCTATTGAGGGTTCCCTCATGTTTTTTTAAGTATTGATCACTGGGAAGGGAAATGGTTGTTAACTGATACATTACTATACACTGACAGGGGTAGCAAGCAGCGATCAAAACAATACTTTAACAAACAGCCAACATACCTTTTACATATGCATACTCTTTCATAAAACTATCATTTGCATAGTTTCTAAATGGTATCTTGACAAGAACAAACTATGAACATTTAACATACAAAAGGACTTACTACAAAGAAAAGAAGTGCAATTAATTACAAAGATTAATAATAAAATTGGAGAAAATAGTGATAAATTAAGTCACAGGATACAAGTTACAGAAATATTTCTCCATAATATAATTATCAGTGTGCAAAAATTAAAAAAAAAAAGTTGTCCAGGGGGGATGAGCACATGATTTTTTTTGGTTGTTCTCAGGTGGAAAATACTTGCCCAAATTTTATTAAAAGAAATAGTGATTAAAATTTTATTGCTATAGCTTTAACCATCATTTCTCTTTAAAGATGTTAATTCTGCTAGACTAGTATGGTAAGTATTCAAATTTTAAATTCTTTTAACCAGGTAAATTAAATCAAATTTATTAACTAAGTATCGATTCTTAAAATACTGAAAGACAGTCTGACTAAACATCATTGTCTACATGTTACAATGTTACATAGTTTTCAATTGGCAGTCTGGAACCTTCCACTTTAGTAAATAACTTCTCAATCTATATTAATAACAGTTTCATTACTCACAGAGTAACTCAATCTAAACATCATTGTCTATATGTTACAATGACCATTAAACATAGTTTTCAATTAGCAGTTTGGAACCTTCCACTTTAGTAAATAACTTCTCAATCTATATTAATAACAGTTTCATTACTCAAGTAACTCAATCACTGACTCGGACACTGCATCCCCATGGTCTGGACCAAAATCCAATTAATGCTCCACTGTAGGTAAAGCATTGAATTATTTCAGATGGATACCATTCACATTAATTTTCATGGTGGCATTCAGTGTGTCCTGTTTAGTTTGGTATGTTTAGAGTCTTTTTCAATATTCATGGTTGAAAATCTCCTCTCAATACCAGCTGTGCTGCTGACTGGAATGGCCATCGTTATCTCAAAAACGTTCAAAATGTTGGCATATTGAGGAGGCTTTCCTCTCAATAAGTCAACAAACACTTTGAGTTGTGATTAAATTCACATTATTGACACATGCAGCTTGAAGGGCAACCATTCCTCAAAGATAGCTTCCCTCTTTTCCTCCCTGTAAAGTGGTCTGAAATCCCTTCCAATTCTTCAGTTCCATAGTTAACTGATTAGTGAGTGTCATGTGGCCAGGTGCTGAAGTTGAACACTTCAGCAAAATTACTTAATGGTGGAATCTTGTACTTTCCCAAATCTTACATCAATAAAGACTATATTTCCATTAATCACTTCAGCATACAGAGGTTTACAGTCCCTTTCATCCAATTCTCCTTCGAGTTTTAAGTTTTTGAACTCCCCATCCTCATGTTTCTTCAAGAAAATTTTCAGAGTTGGACCTGGTGTGGATTTGAGGCTTACCATCTTAAGCAAAGCAGTTGTCAATCTTTGGATCACTTCAGTGATGAGCATGCCTTCAACTTGAAATGCTTGTGACATGATACTGAGAGCAGCACTATAATCAATCAAAAAGAGCAAAAACTTGCAAAATTTTGTCATTTGAACATATCCCAGGATTACCTTCACTTCAACACTGTCTTTTCAATTAAAAATACCAGTAATGTTTTCCAAATGCACCATAGTTGTCTTGGAGTTCTGAGAAAAGGCTCTTGGACCATGTTTCTGACTAGCAAGTCATCTCATTTATTGCATCCCTTCATAGTGTATTAATTTATCATACAAAGATGCAGCAATATTATTCAGTTCTCTTCTATGTTTTGGCAAGTAGCAGTAGAAATTGAACACAAGTTTGAGGGTACAATTGAATCTTTCCAAGTAATGTGTATTTTTTCACATCTAAAATAGCAAGCTCCAGATTGTAATTTATGCAGTAAATGACAAATGTGTGGGGTATCATTACATGCTGAGATCTACACTCATAACATGTGGCTAATGTTAACATCTGCCCCATCAAGATTCAAGCTAATTTGTTTTTGAGACAAGGTTAAGACTTGACCCAATGGAGGAAAGAGCAGTTTTTATGCCTGCCTACACACCTCAAGTAGTAGACAAACCAACAGCAACGAACTGTGCTAATTTTGTGACTGCATTACCCAAAAAACGAACATAAACTGCTCCCTGCTCAATTATTACAGCATATGTGGAGCCATCAGCAAGTACAGAGAAATATTTAGCAGCAACAATCTGTTCCATTGTCTCCAACTTATTAACAGATGTTATGGACATCACAAATTCTTTGCAACCATGGTCATTGAAGTAATTTTTACCCAAACTTACACTTTTTATATTTTGCAGTTCACAAAGGGTCTCAAATTTGTATTTGTGTAATATATTATGCAGCACTGAACAAATAAGTAAATTTTTTAACACTGTCCGTGTTCATGTACCTTGGGACTTTCACCATGGGAGTCGACTTGGGTGCAGCTATTGCTTTGATTGCTACACCCCATTTTATGTGCTCTACTTCTCTGATGAAATGTTAATGCATCTTTTCAAAATCCTTGCTTGCTATCACCACTTCCTTTCAATATCTGCCTTTCTGTAACAGCAAGTTTTGGAAACAGGACACCTTCCTCCATCATCATATTTGACTCATTCATATTCACTTTTCCAAACTTCCTTCAACAGGCTTTTACTCTTGTTGTCATCATACTTTGTGTTGATGATGATGAATTAGACTTGTCACTATCAGTGTCATGGTTGTTTTGATTCCTATTGGCATGACTGAGATGGTCTGCTTTTGTCTCAGATTCCTTTGTCTGTGATAAATCTACAGCAACACTTGCTTAGATCTGTCTGATTGCTTTTATCTTTCGATTGTATATACTGTTTGTTATTTTGGTACCACTATCAAAAAATCTGCACAAAAGCTTTTATTTTGATGACTTTAGGAGTCATATTACATAACATCAACACATAACCTTGCTTTAGCAAACTCTCAAATTCGTATAGTAAAAAAACAGTAACTAATTACAAAACTTTTACTACAACACATTGAAATTATGTTTGTCTATAAGGTTGTTACAACTTTTCAGAGACTCAAACCATTCAATAATTCTTATTTTCAGCGTTAAACATAAAAAAATTAAACTTCTAAGAAATATGAAGTCAATAAATCAAATAATTAAACTTCAAATTATAAAGTGTAAATGAAAAAAAAAAGATCAACTTAGTGATGAATAGGAAACTAAGCCTACCATACATGATCATTGTGATGTAGTCATACATCATGGTATGTTTATAATTGTAAAAATTCATAAACTTCAAATCTTGTAATAATACAATAAGCAAGATATATGAATAGGAAAATAACAATTAGGAGATAAAAATTAACCCTACAACTTTATTAAAAAAAATAAAAGACTGTATTCAATGCAATCCAGGAATCATCAGCAATGGAAAGTTTTCTATTTTTCCACATCACCACTAACAGCGAGCAGCAGCACATAACACATTTTTCTTAAGCATGATTTTTCCATATTTTTGACATTAGTTTGTTTTTTAATATTTATCTGATTATTTAAATAATAATTTTATACAAATTATTCAAATAATCAGCCTCACCCCTACAGGAGACTCAAAAATTATGTTGATATGGCAGGTGCTCTATTCTAAACATTGTGCTACTGTTATTGAAACTAATATATAAACCTTTGAAATTCTTACTCGACCAAGCAGACATGTCAATTTGATATAATAATATAGTTATCCTCCAGTAAAATCTGCCTAACCTGGATGTGCGGATGGACAATTTTCCGAGTTATGATCTGAAATCCCAGAACATTGAAACACTAATGCTTTATACACAACTTTTTAAAGTCTGGAACAAGATACAGCTTTTACACTCTAACTTGTTCTATTTACGTTTAAGTTTCATTTGTCTGTGATTGTGTGTTAAATATTCTTGATTAAATTTACAATATTAAGATGTATTACTTCTTAAAATGAAAAGCAATTCAATCTATTCCCATTATTTCATGCACTAAAATGAAAACAGTATTGGGATTTGGTTATGTACAGAATATGTGAATTGTAGCTAGCACCATTGAAAATATGAACCTGTTATTAGTTTAGCAACACATGATACTTCAACAAAATTCTGAAAAGGTTTTATATAGTTATATAACTAAAAACCATATACCTTGGAATAAATTACATAAATTTCTAAGAAATTATAACCTTGATTCTCAAAATCACTAATTAATGATTATGAAAATCTTGAGCATACATATTTAATGAATTGAAGTTACAACATACAAATATACCATACAACTAATTTTTGTTCTTGTTAATTTATTACCAATAATTAAATTTTCATATTCATGAAAAAGATGGGGGTTAGCAACTAAAACAAATCTGCATAAGTATCAAATATTAAAATATAATAAAATGTTAAAAGTTGTGTTTAAATTTTTTTAATATATCCATCAAGTTTCCAAACCAAATACTCTCTATTTTGAAAATTAAAAAGTACACACAATTCATAAAAACATGTATGTAAAAATTGAAATGATAATTAATAAAAGTTGCTTTTTTTCCATAAATGTATTTGTTATGCAACAGCGGTTTTCTTTCTGCAAGATTTATTTGCATTGACAAGAGCATACATTGCTAAACTACGCATATTCCTGTATCACTTGCCATCTTCAAAATCTAAATTTCTGAAAATGGAAATTCTAGTGATTTTCTCCATGCAACAGCTACTTGTTATTAGTTTAGACAGAAAACTCTCTCAATAAAACAAAAATTAATACAACTACTAAAACAAGATACCTACCATATTAAATAAAAGGGTGTATGTGTTTGCATGTGTGTGTGTGTGTGTGTGTGTGTGTGTGTGTGTGTGTGTGTGTGTGTGTGTGTGTGTGTGTGTGTGTAGTATATATAAGAAGAACAACAACAAGTAATGTACATATCTCTATACTCTGTATTACTACTCTACTACTTACTGTCGTCGGTCGTCTGTACTAC